CCATTACGTTATACTGCAGTTATACAGTATGCTGTGCATGTCATTTTGTGGGCTGCACTGTGTGTTTTGTGCTACTGTGCTGCTTCCAATGGGCTCTTGAGAGTAAACAAAGTGCTTCACTTCACAGGGTACACATTATATGGCGCCGCATGGAACGCAGGTTTACTTTGCATGGTAAACATAATCAAACTCCACTTACATATCTTTATCTGTTCTCTTCCGTCCTCTTTCGCCCAGGGGAAAAAAATTGAAAACATGTGCCATATGCAATACCCTATTAAACACCTTTTGGATGAAATGGACCCAAAATCACCCAAATCAATGCCTGATCTCAATGATGCTCTTGGGTCAATGATCTTGGGTCAAAAGAGAATTAATGATCAAAAGAACGGAAAAATAATGTAGTTTAAAACATGTAAATGTGGTCTTTGTATTCTTGTTGGTTTCATATTGTTTAAAAAATACATGCCATTTTTAAGAAACGTTTTTAGATTTCTTTTGACTTGTCAAGTTGTGCAACAATCAAGTAATGAAGTATTTTGGGTAACACTTTATTTTAAGGCATCCTTGTTACAAATATTACATGTACTTACTATTACAATAACAATAAATTATGCATAATTGCATGCAAGTAACCCTAAATCCTAATCTTAACCCTAAATGCCAAACCCTAATCCTAACACTAACCATATATTAAGTGCATGTAGTTAATTAATATTACTCAGTACTTAAATGTATAATTACACTGTAACATGACACCTTAAAATAAAGTGTAACCCCATTTTTTAAGAAAAGTTTTAATTTAATAACTGATTTTAATGAAAATGGCATGTTGTGTAACAATTAAATAATATATCAAAATACGGTTACACTTTATTTTAAGGTGTCCTTCTTATAGTATAACAAGGACACCTTAAAACCATATACTTACTATATGGTTAGGGTTAGGATTAGGGTTTTCTTAGGGTTACTTGCATGTAATTATGCATAATTTATTGTTATCATAATAGTACGTGTGTAACAAGGGCACCTTTAAATAAAATGTTGCGATTATTTTAGTACTATAACCTAAACTGAATGAACGTGCTTGCTTAATATTATATATTATGTGTGTATGTATGTATGTGTATATATATATATATATATATATATATATGTGTGTGTGTGTGTGTGTGTGTGTGTGTGTAATAGTAATGTTCAGTTAACGATAATTCTGCACTGAACTTTTTTTATTTTAACGAAATAATATTAAAACCGGTTTAATGACTACGTATTTCGAGCAAAATTGAAGAAATTTCTGCTGGCCTTTGGAAGGTTGTGGCGTAAAGTTAATTTTGGTCCCTTCATGAAGCAATGGGCGGTCGCGCGCATATCACACAGGCCACGCGCTATATTTGGAACAAGCTACGCGTGCCTGCTCTCGCGCGGTCCGTCAGTGTCAAACAAGACACCTTCACACCGCTTTTAACCAGACTCGTACAGCAATATCCTACTAAAATAGGTGGTCTTCAATTCACTGCGCCGTCGCGTTGTCTGTCCATCGCTCGTACTGCGCTAGAGGAAGCGTCGCGTCTTAAAGGGGTCATATGATGCTTTTTTAAAGATCATTATTTTGTGTATTTGGTGTAACGGAATATGTTGACATGCTTTAATGTTCAAAAAACACATTATTTTTCAAATACTGTACATTATTGTAGGTCCTCTATGCCCCGCCTCTCTCAAACGCTTCGTTTTCTACAAAGTCCCTCCTTCCGACAAGCGCAGTCTGCTCTGATTGGCCAGCTGACCCAGTGCATTGTGATTGGCCGAACACCACAAGCACACGTCGGAAATGAAACGCCCCTTACCATAATAAAGTCCCTCCTTCTGACAAGCGCAGTCTGCTCTGATTGGCCAGCTGACCCAGTGCATTGTGATTGGCCGAACACCGCAAGCACTCGTCGGAAATGTAACGCCCCTTACCATAATCGCGAGCTTCATCTTTCAAAATAAATGTAAAGACAGTAAATCATGTCATTAGTTTTACCATCAGTTCAAGCCCGAAAGGGGAACAGAGTCGCGTGACAGACTCAGTGATGAAGCTGGTATGTGTCTGCAGTACACAAGCCGCGGTTAAGACAGCTGACTCCACTTTGATGTGACGCTGTCTCTCTCTCTCTCTCTCTCACACACACACACGCGCGCGCGCGCGCGCACACACACACACTATGCGCAAAACTCCGCATTTGAACAGTCAATAGCAAATACTTAAACTAATAACAAAACAGTAGCTGATTCAGAAGCGCCAGATTGTCATAGCAAAGTCAGAATTACCTCCTCTCCTAGGTTCATGAAACGGTCGTCCATAAAATGCATTGCTGTTCTGTTGTAAGTGATCCAAATAAAGTGCTTTTGCTTTCGCACTGAAACACACAGCGTCTCCCTGACATGCTGCTTCAACACTAACTGCGGTTACTGAAGCCACGCCTTCTTTCTTTGCGTGCACATTTGCGGCGGGATTATGCAAATATTTCCACATAGTGGGGTAGATATGTGGGGGCGTGTTAGAATGAGCCGTTTTAGGGGGGCGTGGCAGAGTCTTAACTTTGATAAAGAATATCTCTTTGGTTTTGAGACTTTAGTCTTTGCAACTTCAGGGATCTTATCTATGCACAATCAGCTTGTAACACTCCAAAGAGAAAGGAAAACTTGAAATCGCATCATATGACCCCTTTAAATAACCGACCTCCACGAGCATGCGCAGGAAGCGGGGACGCGCGGCGCGCGGAGAAGCTCGGCTGTAGTGCACACGCACAAATGGACGCTGGCACGCAGGTAAGAGAGTAAAGCTTCTCTCAGGGGTGTGACTGTGAAGCAAACGCGTGGGTTCAAATAAAGGCTTGAAGGAAAGAATTAGGCAAGACACTGAATTAAACGTAAACAATTTTTAGAAGTGATAATTCAATGTTTTTTTGTTGTCGTTTTTTTTTTACCGTTATTTACAAAACTACCATGGTACTGCTGTGTATTACCTTGTCTCTTTGGGAAATTTAATATAATAAAACAATAGTGGTTTGGAAGTCCAATGAGATGTATACACATATATGTCTGTATGTACGCATGTATATATTTAAGAAAAAAATGTTATGTTTATGTATTAAATATATTTATATAAAATATAATAATATAAATATATAAATGTATATACATATAAATATTTTCAAAATATATACTGTATGTGTGTGTATTTATATATACATAAGTAAAGGCATATATATATTTGTATTTGTGTGTGTGTGTGTGCGTGTGCGTGTGCGTGATATGTATATATGTGATTGTCAGCATACCTGGGAAAAAGCCAAGGGAATGAAAACAGATCAAATCATATAGATAAAAATAATAGTTATATAATAATAGAGAAACAGTAGTTTTCATTACATGTCCATGTATAAGATTATTTTATTATATATTTATATTTTATTATTATTGTGGTTAATGAGAATTACATTTTTGAATTATATTAAATGAAAACACTTTCTGTTACACAGAGGAAAATGACTGCATTCCAACCTCAAAAATGTAAAAAATGACTAGTTTGCAGCTGGTTGGAATTGCAGCATAACAACAGTGTTTCTTCACGAAGTAAGCTTCAGCATTTGAATCGGGGTCTGGAGACAAGATTTTTGTTTTTAGTCGAACTACCCTTTTAAGACAGACATGTAATGAAAACTATGTTTTGATAAGATAATGCTTATTATAATTGTTACCTGATTTGCATTTGCTAATTTAAGAATTAAAATTTTTGAGCAAATTGGTCCTTAAAAGAAAATGTAATGGTGTACGTTTTTTTTTTTTTGTTCCCAACAGGACGATTGCCATGAGGACTATATAATGAACAGCGTAGGTAGGTCAACGAACATTTCATAAGTCTGTTTGATGATGGGCATTCATTTACATACAGCATCTTAAATATTCTATGTTGTTTGGTGTGTTTCACGTCTCTCCAGACCCCGATCCAAATGCAGAAGCTTATATGGACTTCATGAAGAAACACTGTTGTTATGATGCAATTCCCACCAGCTGCAAACTAGTCATTTTTGACACCACACTGCAGGTTGGGATGCAGTAAATGCAGAAAGTGTTTTCATTTAATATAATTAAAAAATGACCACAATAATTCATTTAGAAAAAAAATTTGTTTCGAAGAGGTGAACACACATCTATTGTATCGATGCAGGTAAAGAAGGCCTTCTTTGCTTTGGTTGCAAATGGCCTGAGAGCGGCCCCTTTATGGGACAACAAACTGCAGAGATTTGTGGGTAAGACTGATCAGAGTGTGTGCATGTTATTTTTATCTATATGAGTAGTTCTCTTGTTTCCTTCATTCTCTTGCCTTTTTCCCCAGGTATGCTGACAATCACAGATTTCATCAATATTCTTCATCGGTATTACAGGTCACCCATGGTGGGTTGCGATCTCTGCCTCTTGTCTAATGATCTCCTTGTGTTGTCCTTCGTGGTTTGAATCATATTGATTTTGCATTGACTGTCCACATAATGCTGCATGAGACAGATATTGTTTCGTTTGGTAGATGATAACTAAGTGACTTGAAATAGTATTCGACCTCAGTCTATTTCATGCTAATTATTTCCTCAACCTGATATTTTGAGCCTTTTATTTTTAAAATCAGTCAACTATGCAACAATTAAAAAAAATTTAAATTAAATAAATTTCCCAATTAAAAAAAAAAGACTATTAAAGAATCTCGATTGTCAGTTTAGATACTGTCTTCTAATTACCCCTCACTTATTTCATTTATATGTCTATAATTATAAAAACAAATAATATATTTTTTTAATGTATGAGTTTTAGATTTAAAAAAATAACTAGAATTTTAAATAGGTTGGGGTCAGTAAGATTTGTAACTTTTTTCAGTAATGATACATTAAATTGATCAAGTAAAGACATTTATAATGTTACGGATATTTCTATTCATCAAAGAATCTGGGTAGCACTTTATTTTACAGTCCTGTTCCTCAAGTACTTATTATTTACTTGTAATTACAATAACTAGGTAATAACTAGGTACTAACCCTGAAACTACCCTTTTCCCATGTAGCAACCTTATATTACCAGTACTTTCTTAGGTAAGTACACTTTTAAGTACATGCAAATACACATACTGTAAAATAAAGTGCAACCGAAAAATGTATCACAAACATATTTCCACAAAAATATTAAGCAGCACAACTATTCAACATTGATAATAATAAGAAATGTTTCTTGAGAAGCAAATATGAGAATGATTTCGGAAGGATCATGTGACACTGAAGACTGGAGTAATGATGCTAAAAATTCAGCTTTGCATCCCAGGAATAAATTACATTTTAGAATATATTCAAATATAAAATAGTTATTTTAAATTGCAATAATATTTCAGAATACAGTAAGCCTTTACTGTCACTTTTGATAAATATTATGCATTGCTGAAAAACATTTCTATCAAAAAAAAAAATCTTACTCAGCTCAAACACAAACAGTAGTGTATGTATTTATAATATATTTTATAATATGTATTTATATATAAGAACTTCATTTGGACAACTTTAAAGGCGATTTTCTCAATATTTAGATTTTTTTGCACCCTCAGATTCCAGATTTTCAAATAGTTGTATCTCTGCCAGATATTGTCCTATCCTAATAAACCATACATCAGTGGAAAGCTTGTTTATTCAGCGTGTATAAATCTCAATTTCAAAAAATTGACCCTTATGACTGGTTTTGTGGTCATGTTTTTTCTGTCTGTACACAGCCTCTTTGATGCCGTCTACTCTTTACTGAAACACAAAATCCACAGGCTGCCAGTCATTGACCCAGAGTCTGGAAATGTCCTTCACATACTGACCCATAAGAGAATCCTCAAGTTCCTTCATATATTTGTAAGACGAATAAATCCAATTGTTAGTTTTATTTGAACTCGTGATTTTACAGTTCAGCATGTTTATAAATGTGTATATTTCCTCTTCATCTTTAGGGAGCCTCGGTGCCCAAGCCATGCTTCTTGAAGATGCAAGTTAAAGATGCAGGAATAGGAACTTTCACAGACGTGGCGACTGTCTCACAGACGGCCACTGTGTATGATGCACTTTCTGTGTTTGTTGAGCGACGTGTTTCCGCTCTCCCAGTGGTGGATGACGATGGTACTTAAACAAGCAAAATAAAGTCATGTTACAGGACAAAAACAGAATATTGAACTTCCGTTTTTTTTCTTCTAGGCAAGGTGGTCGCCCTGTATTCCAGATTTGACGTGATTGTGAGAATCTCTTCTCCTTTTTTAATTTCTGACATTAAAGGCAGAACTGGCTTATTGAGAGAACTTGTAACCAGTATCTTGTATGGTGATGTTTTAGTTGACTGCCACCGTTTCTTTTGGCAGAATCTTGCAGCGCAGAAAACCTACAATAACCTGAGCATGAGCATGCAGGAGGCCGTGCGGAGGAGACGCTGTTATGTGGAAGGAGTCATTAAATGTTACCCTGACGAGACTTTGGAAACTGTTATTGACAGAATCGTCAAGGCTGAGGTAAGGAAGTGTGTTCTAAACTGAGGCTGATCTTATTAGTTAGAAATTACAAATGTATATGAATTGATTCTTTGCATATCTCCATGTAGTTTTGCTACATTTATTTTATTGTTTTGTTTGATATTTAACATGGAAAAAAATGGAAAGCAAGAAGTAAGGATCTCTGTTTTACATGATATATTTATATTAAAAATAAAATGTATAAAATTTCAATTATTTTTTTAAATTATAGTTTATAAGAAATTAGTACTGACAAAAACGGTTGCATTTAATTTTTTTTGTTTTGTCTTGTCTTTTTTTTGTGCAAATGTTATTCTATTTTATTGTTTTGTTTTGGATTAGATTAGATTTTTTGACTTGTCATGTTTTGTTATTTTGTTTTATAACAAATGTCATTTTGTTTACATTTTATTTATTTATTTTACTGTCATTATTATTATAATTATTCATTTAAATTGATTTAATTATTATTATTTTTTTGTTTGTTTCGTTTTATTTCTGAGGCTGATCTTATTAGTTAGAAATTACTAATTTATATAAATTGATCCTTTGCATATCTCCATGTAGTTTTGCTACATTTATTTTATTTTATTTTATTTTATTGTTTGGTATTTAACATGGAAAAAAAATGAAAGGCAAGAATGAAGTAAGGATCTCTGTTTTATATGAAATATTTATATTAAAAATAAAATGTATCAAATTTAAATAATTTTTTTAATTATAGTTTATAAAAAATTAGTACTGACAAAAACTGTTGCTTTGAATTTTTTTGTCTTGTCTTTTTTTGCAAATGTTATTCTATTTTATTGTGTTGTTTTGGATTAGATTTTTTGACTTGTCATGTTTTGTTATTTTGTTTTATAACAAATGTCATTTTGTTTAAATTTTATTTATTATATTTTGTTTAATTGTATTTTTAACTGTCATTATTATTATAATTATTTTTTCATTTAAATTGATTTAATTATTATTTTTTTTTGTTTTGTTTCGTTTTATTTCTGAGGCTGATCTTATTAGTTAGAAATTACTCATTTATATAAATTGATCCTTTGCATATCTCCATGTAGTTTTGCTACATTTATTTTATTTTATTGTTTGGTATTTAACATGGAAAAAAATGAAAGGCAAGAATGAAGTAAGGATCTCTGTTTTACATGATATATTTATATTAAAATAAAATTTCAATTATTTTTTTAAATTATAGTTTATAAGAAATTAGTACTGACAAAAACTGTTGCATTTAATTTTTTTGTCTTGTCTTTTTTTGCAAATGTTATTCTATTTTATTGTTTTGTTTTGCATTAGATTTTATTGACTTGTCATGTTTTGTTATTTTGTTTTATAACAAATGTCATTTTGTTTAAATTTTATTTATTATATTTTGTTTAATTGTATTTTTAACTGTCATTATTATTATAATTATTTTTTCATTTAAATTGATTTAATTATTATTTTTTTTTGTTTTGTTTCGTTTTATTTCTGAGGCTGATCTTATTAGTTAGAAATTACTAATTTATATAAATTGATCCTTTGCATATCTCCATGTAGTTTTGCTACATTTATTTTATTTTATTGTTTGGTATTTAACATGGAAAAAAA